AGCTCTTCTCAGGCTTTTTTTATTCCCCCATCTTTGGTTTTGGAACATTGGATTATGGTATATCCTTTGGATCCTTTGAGTTATTTTGAGTTATTTGAATGGATATATATTTGTCTTTTATGATGTTAGGGAAATTTCTACTGATAAATCTTGGACAGTTTTCTCAGTGTTTTTTTTTTTTTTTTTTTTTTTTTTTCCTGATTGATCTTCTAACAGATAGATTTTAAGGGGTTTGTCTTCAATATTGCTGATTCTTTTTTTCCATTAACTCAATTATATTTATTTTTCCCTCCAATGAGTTATCTATTTCTGATAATTTAGTGTTAATCTTCTGGGTTTATATTTGCTATTTTATTTATGGATTCTACTTATCTATTTTATCAGTTTGTTCTTGTATGTTTTTTTAAACTTTTTTAGAGTTTTTCTGTTATGTTTTCTTTTGTCTGTGATTTTCTTGTTGTTGTCTGATTTTGCCTTGATCTGCTTCTTAATCTGTTGAAAGGTCCTAAATATAATTATTTTGAGTTATTTATATGGTAGTTCCATTGCCATTCCACCACCCCCCCTCCTTTTCAAGGTTTTATGGCACTATGTTTTCATTTCTTTCTAGAGCCATCTGGTCATTTGTGTGTGTGTGTATGTCTGTGTGTGACTTGAAGGTGTGTATTTTCTGCAAGACAGCATAGTCTCATTGTGTATATATATATATATATATATATTTATTGCATTGCTTTACTGTGATTTTTGTTTTGTTTTGATATGCCTTGGTGGTTGGGGTGAGTGTGCTATTTTCTACTACTTTGGAAGCACTCACCACCTGTCTTTGAGTGGATTTGGTAGTGGGTGAAGAGTGGGCATTAGTCTCTGCTGGTTGTGTAGAACTGGTGAAGACAGGCTTAGCTGATGTTGATCACTGTCTGTTTTCAAACCAGTGTTGTTAGAGCAGGTGGTGATACTAACTCAGTGAGTGGGTGGCAGGTGTGATAAATATGGTTGGGCACTGTGGATGCAGTTGCTGCCTATTGCTGGATAGAGCATAGAAAAGGTAGAAGAGGAAAAAAAGAGGAAGAAAAAAAAGGAAGTGGAAGAAAAGAGGAAGAAAAAAAAGGAAGAGGAAGAAAAGAAAAAGAAAAGCAGCATGGCAGTAAGTGCAAGTACTCAGCCAAATATGAAGGCAACAGGTACATCACTCCTGATGCATGTGCATGTGTGCCATTGAGCACTGAGGCAGCACCCAGCCTGAGCCCAATCCATGAGCGTGCACACAACCCACCACAGCAGTGGTGGTCATGTGTTGCATTGTCTGCGGAAGTGCACATCACTGACTCCAATAGTTGTGGGCATATGGCACATGACCCCTAACAGTATGCTTTGCCTCTCATGGAGGTTGCAGGCATATTGTGCATAACCTGCAAAAGCATACCTTGTTGATCAGTGACGGGCAGACATTGAATTGTATAGTGAAACCCAGGTGGACCAATAGACCTGGGAGGGGCAATGAAGAGATCTCACCAGATGCCAGGTGTGTAGTGGTGGTGCTCCTGCTTCTGGTCACCAAGAAGGTCTCTAGGGTAAGAGTCTTTAGGGGAGAGCACACTTCACTGTTTGCTGGTCACCAGAAGGGGCATCAGCACACTCTTAAGTGAGTGCAGATGGTTATCTGGCTCCCGACTCAATTCAATGCAAGTGACAGCTGTCCAGAGTCCAGTGTCTCTAGCTTCCACCCCATAGGCATTCTACATCACGTGTGTCATCAAGTCAAATCACCAAGGACCATGGCTGGTGAATGGTTCTGTCACTATTTACTGGTTCTCCCACTGCTCTCTGGTCTCCAGAATCTCCAGTTCTCACCTCCCTTCCTAAACTTCCTTTCCTTAGATCTAGCTCATATTCTGCTCACCTTGTTTCATGCTGGGTTTTTCTACGCTGTGTCTCTGTCTTATGGCAATTTCATGAAGTTGCCTTTCTGTCTCTCAAAATGGCTATGTTGTGATGGGGCCAGCTGGGAAGGTAACTTTGCTTCTCATCTCTCCTCATTTGCTATTCCCACACAACCTCCTTTTCCATTTTGGCGCTTGGTCTACTTCTTTATTCTTTTGTTTGCAGCTCAAGATTGGAGAATTATCATCTGTATCTGTTTCATTTGGTTTCTAGAGGAAAAGAAACCTTAGAGGAAAAGTGTGGCATGTGTATCTAGTTGACCATCTTGCATCTCCTCCTCATATGTATCTTTTCAATAGGCAAGGTTACTATTTTTCTTTTTCTTGACCTTTTCACCAGGTCATTTACCACAGACCCCAAACATTTAAAACATTTCCCATTTAATGGAAGAACAGCATGCATTTACCTACAAAACTAATTTGTTTTTAGTTTCCTCAATCAAAGTCTTGCCATGTGTTTAGTAACTCTCTCTCACTGAAAATCTCCTTGTCCAAAATCTCAGGTCTTGGGGTTGTGTTGTGTTCACAGGCTGTTGCTGTGATAGCTCTCTATCCTTCACACATGATTTTTGTGCAGAGAATTTGTCCATACCAGCATACTAGAGTTTTGAAATACACAACCTGTGTGGATTTGGACAATACTAATGGTTCCCAGTTAGCATAAACTATAAAGACTTTGATTGTGTATTTATATGATTTTGGTTTAATAGCAGGACTGGGCAGGAAAAATTTTATCCAGTAATAAATAATATTTGTTTCCATAATAAAATCAAATAAAATATATACAACCACCTAACATAAATATTTCAGGTTTCCTATAAAATTCTCTTTTCCACCCCTTGGTCATTTAACTCACTCATATGCATCTACCCATAGGACTCTGGCTTGGTTTGAACTTAAACATCTTAATTCCTCTGTCAGTCTGTTCCCAATTGATTCCAAGTGGGGCTTTTCTTTATGTGTATTGTTTTCCTAATTTCCTAATAACCACTATCTATGAGTCACATTATTCTGATTAATATTTTGACTATGCTTTCCATTATTGAGGCCATACTCATCTTGTCTTTGGTGATTAAGTGTCAATACTTGGCCCCTACAATTAATATCAAACTATCTCAATTTCATGTAAGTTTCCCTGTACAGAGGCAGCATTTACCACTTTAAAACTAACCTACAGAGAATAGCAGCTATAGAGCTCTTCAATGAAGCTGTGGATACTTGCACAAATTTTATTACTCGTAATTGTGGTGAAAGTTGTATTCTCTGAACATTTTTGGTGTGGTTGTGCATGTGTATATGATAAATACTTTACAATACTCAAATTTCCCTCAGCTGATGAAACATTATTCTGCTGTATTAGATGACCATTCTGGCACTTCAACTTTATTTGGTACAGGTCAACTTTTGGTCTATGCTTCAGTCAACCAATCGAACAAATTTTTAGAGCACTTTCTAACCACATAGATAAAACGTTGACGGTAAA